AGCCCAGTGTTTCTGGTCAGGCATGCATCAGGATTGCAACTGGATGCCACGTGTGTTTGTGTTTTGGAGAGAGGAGAAATCCTGAGACTTTTGCACACTGGGCAACAAGGGTGGATCTTGCCAGAAAGTCACACAACGGCAGGGTAATAACTGCTTCTCTGGGATGTGCTTTCCATGCAAATCTATCAATTATCACATATAACAGGGAGGAGACAGTTCTGGATAGCAGCCCGTATGTGGTTCAGGGAGGAAGCTCTGAACAGGCCCAGAAGAACAGTTTTACCTTGAGCAGAAGGGACTGGTTTGTGCTCATTGTGTTTTTTGTTTTGCTTTAATTAATTTATGTTATCGGCGAAACTTAAATAACTTTACACAGACCTATTAGAGAGAGGTTTAGGGAAGGGAGCCAGAGCATTGCAAGAACTTTTAATCACAATCAAGTGACTCTTATAAATATTTGCATACACAGACATTCACACACAGCGTTGAAGCCCAGCTTGTGGCTTCTGTAAATAAGGATCAGCAAAGTATGAGAAAAGGGGATGTGTGGAGAAAAGGAGGGGAGCCTGCCAAAAGTCTAATAAATACAAATACACACACAAAAAAAGAAATAGAAATAAATCTTGGGAACATTTATTACCCACTTTCACTGGAATGATTTGATTGCTCTCAGCTTTTCCTGTTTCTGGGAGCACATGTGAATGAGAGAGAGCAAGCAAATCAGTAAAGGCAGTCCCGGATAGTCTGCCTTTTCTTCCAAATAAGAAAAGAAAAGTTGTTTATGTCTCCCCGCAACAGGAAACATATTGAATTAGTTCCACTCATTTAGGACTGCATATCAAAGACAGTTTGATGCTTCTGCTTTCTAGAGAAGAAAAGAAAAGAAAAAAAAAACTGCACTTGTAGCTGAAACGGAGCAGACTCTCATCTATGGTTGTTCCTATGAAATGGGGAAAATTTCTAAAGGTTCTCCAAACTTCTGTGAATGTGGCACTTTACAATGTATCATTAATGGAAAGAGCTGTTTTGGTGGGTCTCATTATGGTAAAATTAGGAGACAGATGACTCTATTTCTGGGCTATAGGACAAGGGTCGGCAAACTTTGTTTGAAAAGGACCAGATCTCTGCTTCTGTGGGGGCAGCAGGCCAAGGAGAGCTGGAGCCATTGAACAATGCTGGCCTGCCAGCAAGGAGGCTGCTGATAGGCTGTCACTGCCCAGGATGCCCTGCCCCTGCCCCTGCCTCTCACCTCTGCCCCTTGCTCCAAGAGCTTGGCTGAGGCTCAGGTCTGGTGATCTGCCCACCCACCTGCCTGTCCATTCTTAACTTATGGCTGTATAAAAACAGGTGTGGGCCAGATTTGGCCTGCAGGCTGCAGTTTGCCAACCCCTGATAAAGAATAAGAGATACGTACAACTAAAAAGCATAGGTGTAGGAGAATGCTGTTTGGATATTCTGTTTTGGGTGTCAAATATTTGCAGCCAAGTCAGAACAGCAATGACAGAGAAAAATCTCTGGCTATAACCAGCATCAAAATAACTTTTAAAGCCCCTCTTGGTTCTTACATCTTGTCCACTACAAGGGTACAGACCAACAGTTCCCAAATGTTGCCTTTATGCAGACCTCTGCTTTGGCATTACAAGCATTTGGGACTGCCACATAAACAAGCTGTTTTCTCTTGAGAAAAGGTGCATGTTTGGGTTCTCACCCATTTAGCTACCAAATGTTGAAAGAGGGTTGGTTCACATTTACATCATGCAAAAGTCCACTATTTTAGTTCAGAGAGTATAATTTACATTGTGAATGATAATGTAACATCAGATATGATTTCTATGAACTACACAGAATTATAACCTGGTACTGGATGATCCTGTAACTAGAGACAATTTTCAGTTCAATTGCAGTTTATTTTATAGAAATCTAAGTTTTTCAGCTCTGCCTGTCTCAGTGAACTAAAATGATTAGCTGAGCTTTTGGATAAAGTCAGTTGTTCATCTTGTGGATGTGACCTTTCAGTTTTGACCTTAAGGACAAGGACTTACAAAATCTAATAGGATTCCTTCTTTCTTTGGATGTTGAGTGACATTACCTACTGGGTGATATTACCTGCTGCTGATGACCTACTCAAGAACCTCTGAGTAGGTAAAGGAAAACCTCTAATCCCCAATGGAAGGAGTATAATCATACCTGCTTGAATTTATTTATGCCAGGGTTTTTTTAAATTTGGCAACTTTAAGATGTGTGGACTTCAACTCTCAGAATTCCCCAACCAGCATGGGGAATTCTGGAAGCTGAAGTGCACACATCTTCAAGTTGCCAAGTTTGGAAAACACTGGTTTATACTAATCTAATACATACTAATCCTCAGCTTTTGGAACTTTTTAGAAAAATGGCAAAATATAGCTTAGAAATCTATTTCTGTGAGTATTATGAGTTCACCTTTAATAAAGATAAAAGGGTTTTTTTTAGACAACATTCCCCAGTCAATAGCTCTGCAGACATATGAAATTAAATTGTCACTGTCCTCAGCCAACATTGCCCATTTCCTAAGAGATCTGTCAAGAGAAGCAGAGCCTTCAGTATTTCTTTTAGTACATTCTTAGCAGAGAATGACTTTACTACACAAATATCTTTTTGACGCTTTAATGGATAAGCTCATCAACCAGAAAGCAGTACAGAAATCACATGAATAGTACCTGGCTATGGATAAAGTAACTGATTCATTATTTCAGTAAATGCCTTTTCTTTGAATGATTGATATTTTCTGCTCTTAGTAATTGAAAATACATGGGGATGATCTGCAATTTTCTGATAATCTAAGATTTTCCATTTCAAACCTGCAAGTATGCCAATCGAGTGAAATTTCATGTGTCATTATTACTGATACATAATAATTATGTTGCCAATTATGTAGTTCATGGTACCTTAATCATTTATTCTTTCAGTATTTGTGTAAATATGTTATTTACCAGGCAGCATTTTTTTTTTACTGATCACAGACACTAAGTATATGTACCTCTTAACCACTCTTTGCTGGTAACTTCTGTGTTTATCTTGAAAAGCTCAATATCAGATGTGGGAACTTTGTGATGTTTATTGTTCCATTAAGGAATAATTTATTGGCTAATCCTAAACTTATTATAAATAGAGGTGTAAAATAAGATGTGCAAGTGAATGCTACAAAACAGCATCAAAGAATATGATGCTGAAAAGCTACATTGCTCTGTCTAGGCCCCAGTATTTCTAACTGGACACTGGGGCTTTTCAGCTCTGTTCTGTGATTTCTTTGCAAACTGGAGACCCTAAAAGCGAATCTGGGAAGCTCTGTTTGCAAACAATGGCTATCAATATGCTAGACCTGCTTTTACATCTAAAGTTATTTATATTTTTATTTTAAAAGACCATTCAATGGGTGTGGCTGTGGCTGAGATGCATCCTTTGTCTTGATTGTTTTCAAATCTGAAAGTGTTTTCAGGGATGGTTCACCACTTTCCAAGTGGTGAAAGCTGTGGTGAATGTAGGCTGTGATGATTTTGAAGTCCACATTGCTGCCTCAATTGGCACATTTCCACCACACAATAACCACAGCATAGTTTGCTGAGCTAGGCTGCATGTGAATATGCATACGTGGTTTAGAAACAGTTATTCTGCGGGCAGTTAATTTCCAAATGTGTGGCCAAGGTTTGTTATTGGCTTACACCTCACTGGCTGGTGTAGCCCATTACCCCAGTGCTTTGGTTAGCATGCCAAGGGGCTGCCCAAACAGGTAGCAGGGGTAGCTAAAAAGCCAAACCATTGCTGCATCTCTTGCTCTCCCGTTGTGTTTACTTGTCTGCAGAGGCACATAGGGTTAATTTTTAAAAGCAAAGCAAAAGAGGGGAATGATTAGCCTTCCTCCAACCCACACATGGTGGGTACCGTGTACTTATGGTTAATTACAAAAGAAAGAGAAACTAGAAATGATTGTGAGCTTGGGTTGCTTCAGCCATCCCCACCAAATCAGCTGGAATACCTGCTCTCAGTTGCCAGGCAGCTACTGCTGGTGGACAACAGGCAAGCATCTTGTTTTTTTACATCTTTCTTTGCTGATGCATTTATTCTATTGGATTTAGAGTCCACCCAACTCCCAAACAACTCTAGGTGCCTTACATCACAAAAATAAGAAACAATAAAATGAAGAAAAAGACATGTACATCTGGAAAAACAATCCAATACCCTTGAAAAGAAATTAACAGAGGCTCTACAATTACTCTAACCCCAGGCCTGGGAGCAAAGCCAGGTTCTCAAAAGATCTGTGCAACTGTTACAGGGTGGGAACCATACAGATCTCCAAGGGGATGCTGAGCGTAAGTTCTCCCATTTATGGCTAACTCTAATGCAAAAGGAGGCAAAAGGAGAAGAGGACGGCAGAGGATGAGATGGTTAGATAGCATCACTGAAGCAATGAGCATGAAACTGAGCAAACTCAGGGAGGCAGTGAAGGACAGGAAGGCCTGGCGCAATATGGTTCACGGGGTCACGAAGAGTTGGACACGAGTTAACGACTGAACAACAACAATTAATGCAAATGGGATCGCTCATACTGAGTTTGGTTGGGAATTCTGGGTAGATGTAATCCCAGTCCATTTCAGGGCCACCTAACTGAGGGAGGTTGGGATTTCCTGTTTGAAATGGCCATTGCAAACTAGTAGCTACTGGAACTACATGGATCATTTTTGAAACTATAGCTGTCTGTAACCCACCATTCCTTTCAAAGAATAGAGTTAAGTGCATGCCCCGAAAGAAAGTTGGGAATGTTTTTTCTGATCAGTATTAATCTGCTGTTTCTGTAACCAAATATATGTTTGTTTATCTGGCTAAACAGTAATGATATCAAAATTGGTTGCTGGATGTTGAATCGTCCTACAACATTTCCGTCACTGTTTCTTGAATGTCTTAAGTTGCGGCCTGTAAAAAAGCAATATATTTATAATTTAAACCATTATGCTAACTTCTTGCAGATTTCATCTCAACGAGTAATCAAAACCCATACTTTAGAAGAGTGAAGTTTGATGTCTCAGCGATGGAGAAAAATGCTTCCAATCTAGTGAAGGCGGAATTTAGAGTCTTCCGCTTACAGAATCCAAAAGCTCGTGTATCAGAACAACGGATAGAACTGTATCAGGTAAAGCTTTGATGATTGTTGTCCTTATACATTTTTTAATATATGGTACCTTTCCAGAGCACATCTAGATACTATAGAGCTAAGTAGATAATAACGTTCATTCTTTCTACTTAGGAAACTCTGGGAAATGTAGTTTATGAGAAGAGATCTAAGGCTCTGTAATAGAGAAATCTCACTCTCCCACCAAATTTACAGTTCCCGGGACTGTAGAAAGAAAAACCAATAAAAATGGTATAAAGTTAACTTAAATGTACATTATACTTAAGCATATTTAAATGTCTGCATTTCAATGGCATGTATGAATTAGGGCAGTTTTGCATCTTTATTTGAAGCTGATTGAAATCCACTTTAAACTACATATACAAAGACAGGTTACTCTACTGAATTATTATAATTGCATCTCTTATTTCTGATCCCTCTTTTTTAGATTTGTTTCTTAAGTGTCAGGTGTCCTAGAATGATAGATCCTACACATGTTTATATTCAGAAATAAATCACATTGGTTTCAGTGGGGCTTACAAATAAATTTAATCTGGATTGTAGCTAAAAGTAGTTGACATTTCCCCCAAGTCCCCAAGGGAATTGTATTGCTGTACAGTATAGGCACCAGGAATTCTTTGGTAGATAGCCAGAATCCATACAGTACTACGGTTGTTGATTCACTTTTTTTTTTGTCTTGATTTTAGTTTTTTAAAAAATATGGAATGCTTCACGAATTTGCATGTCATCCTTGTGCAGGGACCATGCTAATCTTCTCTGTATCGTTCCAATTTTAGTATATGTGCTGCCGAAGTGAGCACAGGTTGTTGATTCACTTTGACCAGAAAAGCAAGTGGTTTAAATAATAGTGAAACATGTCCCAAAACATTATAAAAACTCCTGTTGTTACAGTCTCTGAAAAGACCTAAGTTATCTTAAACCATATGCCAGGCTGCTGATGAAATTTAGAAAAAAAAAATTGTGAATGAGAAACTGGAATATGAACAATCAGATTTAGCTGAGATATATTTTGATGCAGGGCCAGAATTGCTGATGGTGGAAGTATGCTCTGTCACTATCGCTGCAAATGGGGATGTTAGTCTTTACCATCCCACTGAAAATCTGTGCAGTATGACAGTGAAAGTTGAAGATTCCATAAAGTTATTCCCAGCAATAGGAATTGTGTTGCCTGGGTGGAGTGGTACAGACCCAAGTCACTAGTAAAGTAGCTATCACTTGGATACATTGAAAAGGAAGTTCCATGCTAGTATGAATTCATGCTGGAGTTAAACTGGTGGTATTGGGAGAGCTGAAACGATTTAGCTGTGTGTGTACTGACTATTTTTTTAAAGCAGTATGATTTTGTTATTTGTAACAATTGTGTAGAAATGTATGTGATAAATTGTATAGTCTAGTCAAGGTGCTACACTGGTGTATAATCATGCAGTTGTGGAATTGTGATGGTTTGGTATCTGTTGGATACATTAAGCACACCATTCATTTTATTTTATGTAGCTCAATTAAATGGCTGCAATTCTAAATCACATTTATTTACATATTTCTCATTTCCATTTGGCATGATATTGAAAAATTGCTATGTGGGTCAGGGAGAAATAAGTTTTCCAGGCCAAAAGCTATGTTGCATTCCTCATTCCAAAAAACAGGGAACGGGGCAAGGACAAAAAATAAAACTGATTTCTTTTTATTTACATTTAATTAAAATTACACATAGGTAACATGATTACTCTGCAATCATCTGTTTGATAATTCCCTGTTGTTATGTTAAAAATTACAAATCTTTTACACCTTTTCCAACTGCCTGGGGGCTGCACCTAAGCCTTTAGGGGACTGCATGCTCCCTGTTTTAATTAAATTGTAATTCTACTGTGGGTGAAAATCAAAATCCTTAAGCTGCAACAGACAAGGTGTCAGCTTTCTTACTTTGCCAGGGCAAGGAGAACATAATTTCTAACTTGCTGGAATGACCCTTGAATTACGTAGGCAATATATGCGCCTTCTTCTGCTGCTCCTGTTGCCATGATAATACAATGAGATTTAGGGCTAAACATTAATAAATATACTTCGAATATGACATTCATTGGCATTCACAAGGGCTGGGTCTATACGTCTTTTTACTCAGTGTGTCCTCCTGATTCTAAGATATATAAACATGTTTATCATTACAGTGTTTCAGCTTTGTCCTATGCATGCTTTCTTAGAAGTGAATCCAGTTCAGCACAGTGCAACTTATTCTCAGATAAATCAAGCACAAAATTGCAGCCTTACTTTGTAAAAATTATGACAGAGTCCTGGGTGGAGTCCTTCTCATTCTCAGTGACCCCATCTGGCCTCATTTTGTCTTGCTTCAATTGATGCTGTTTTGTGTTCCATGGAGTTAAAGCCAGGAGCTGGTTTTATTTTGCTTCTAACTGCTCACTGCCAGCAAGCTCTTTTTACCCAGCCTTAATTCACTTGCAACTTCATATGTAATCCAGTTAAATCAACTTGCTCAAATTTAAGGCTGATTAATTCCACTGAAGCCAGGGGCACCGTTTGGTATAAATCTTTACATTTCCAAGTAATCTATGCTAAGGTGTGTGTTTTTTTTAATTTGTATTTTGTTTTAGTCATCTGGACAATTTCTCTAAAGTAAGGCCCTGAGACAAATACTTAACATTAAAGTCCAGCCTTAATGGGTTTTCACTATAATTTATTTTTGTTATTGATTTAGATTTTGACTTATAGGTTGCCAAATCCAAAGACTCTAGGCAGTATACAAAATTAAAACAGCGTAAAAAAACAATGTGAAACCACATAGATAAACACACTGCACTGGGGAGAAAAATACACTTAAATGCCAACCATCCATCCTCCACCAATCAGAATTACAAGCCATCATATCATCTGGCCTACTTCAAAAGCCAGGTTTTTAGAGCTTTTCTAAAGGATGGCAAGGTTGGGGTCAGACCAGTCTCTGGGGGCATGGTGTTCCAAAGAGTGGGGACAGTGACAGAGAAGACATGGCCCTGAGATCCAATGAAATGGCACTGTGTAATTGATGGGACGCAGAACATACCATCCTATCTCTTCTTATAGGACAGACAGAAATAATTGAAGAAAGGCAGTCCAGTATAGATATTTACCCATTTCAAGGATGATTCAAGCTATACAATCCCTTTGTTTCAAGACTTAATTTTCTGTGTGATAGACCTATCCTTAAGTTTAGATCTCTTTATTCAGCTGTTGCTTTTGAGGCACAATTAAAAGAATATAGGTTGTCAATAGTTTTTTTACACTTACCACTGACTTATACATTCTCCCAAGAACTAAGGTATCTGTAGTCCTCTATAACGATGGTGACTTTTTTGATAAGATGGATTGAATGTTGAAGTGTAGAAAAATAATTGAAAGCTCATTCATGGACCCTATCACCAATTCACTTTCTGCAAAAATCTGCATAGGTTGCGTGCATGTGGTAAACAGCCTCCTTTGATTCATCATCTCTATAGTCACTTGAAAATGAGGAACAATAATGGGTGGACAGTAATCCCCAGGTATATCAATTGACTGGCATATAGGAATATCTGAGCAGATTTATTTGTTTATTAAACATATTTCTATCCTGCCATAGTTCACAAAAGACTAATTAGAATAGAATAATTAATAGCTTAAACATCCACAGTACAATCTAAAAAGCTGGCAGTCATAAGTAAAAAACAATAAGAATAAGCAACTTAAGCAAAACCACAATAACATGAAAATGTTTAAAAAATAGAGATGGCAAACACCAAATCAGGGGAAGTCTTTCCAAAACAGCTCTATTTTCAGCAATTTTTGAAAAATCAACTGAGAGGGGGCCATCTTAATCTCCAAAGGGAGGCTATTGTACAACATTGATGCTGCCACAGAGAAGCAACGCCTCCATGCCTCAGCTCCACCAACCTTTCAGAAGGGAGGGATTTATAACCATTTCTTCCTAGTAGCCTGACCATTCAGTCTCCAGGATGGGTTTGTCAAGCCAGAAATGGAGATTGCCATCAAATTAGAGGTATGACCTGACACCACCCTTGTCCCACCAGCATAGGGATGAAACTGCCCACCTCACCCTCTCGGGGGTAACAAGCTTCCCTTTTACTCAGAAGCTACATCCCAACTCAAAACATTCAGGGCAGTTAATACTCTACCAGACAAAAAGACTTCAACCGTCAGCCCCCAGTTCATGCAGCTACCAACTAAAGCAATAAAACCATCTGCAAGATCCCTGAGCCTCAGTTGCCCTCTTACTAACATTCAGGGGAACTTGGGTCTTCGCTTCTCTCTGTTTCTCACTATTGATGAGGCCCTCAAACCACCTGCTTCACTCCCACCCAAGGCAGCATCCACTAAACAGGGGGAGAAAGAAAATAAGCCAGGTTCCTTGGAGAAGCCCCTTCACCCAGGTACCTGGGACCTCCACTGAGCATCGCCTCTCAGCTGTGTGGGCAAGAGTTAAGGGTTGTCCCTTTTCCACCCTTTCTCACCCCCTGCTGTGATGGTAAGCAACAGCAAAGGCCCAGCCCACCTCACAGGGCCAGCAGCTTTGCTATCCACCCCAGCTTGACCCCCAACTAGTTTTTTCTAACCATTGGTCCAGAAGCAAACCTATGCTGAGCCCTGCAAGGAGGATAAAGTTGCAGTGCAGATCTAGCTGGTCCCAAGGCAATATCTCCAGCCGCCACTCTGTCTCGCTGGCTGCATCCACCATTCTTTCTTCCATATCCATAGAGCAGACACTTTGCTTTTGATGTATGGCTTAACATATTCTTGTAAATAATAAAACAAAGAGAGATCCATATAGTAAGGATTTGGTGTCAATATGGGATTAATTCATTCCTTAATCTTATTAAACCTAGATCATATAGAAACATTTTGCTCCATCTTCTCATTTTTTGGAGTATAAAGACATTTCAAAAATAATAGCAAACATACATCTTGAATCCATTCCTTAACATCAGGAAGTTTCTTTCTAATTACATGGATGT